ACGACTGTTTGTGGTAAACTAATTTCTGGACCCACAGACGAAGTTCTGATAACTCAAACCTCATCTTTGAATATGAGAAATCTGCATCAAGTCATTTCGGTAATAATAATAATTATTATAATTTATTTTATAATCATTATTATTAATTTTATTTTTATTATAGTATCATTATTATTTTAATTTTAATATCATTATGTTTAATCTTTTTATTTTATTATTATTATTATTATCATCATTATTATTATTATTATTATTATTGATATCATTTTTTTCATTTTTATTATCATTATTGTAATAATAATTATTATTATCATTATTTTTTAAATTATTATTATTACTATTACTATTATTATTTTTATTTTCAATATTTTCATTATTACTAATATTATTATTATGATTATTATTATGATAATTGTTATACTTTCCTTTTTTATTTTTATTTTTATTATTACTATTTTGATTATTACTGTTATTATTATTATTAGTTATTTCATATTATCAATAATATTATTACTATTATTTTTATTTTATTATCATTATTACTTTTATTATTTTTTATTTTTATTAGAATTATTATTATTATTATTATTATTATTATTATTATTATCATCATTATTATCATTATAACTATTTTTATTGTTATTAAACATCCTGAACTCTCAGCTGTTCACTGCAAACTTCTGATCTGAGGAGAAGCCGGGTTCTGCTGGAGACCAGGACTTTGGCTTTAAGGGGGAACACCTGTGGTTTGGTGAAAACAGGAGCAGGTCTGCTGAGGTACTGAATGGACTGAAACATCATCCTGCAGAGGAGGACCTTCATGGAGTCATGTCAGAGTGACACCATGAACTCCAACACAGGAACCTGGTCTTTACTCTCATCCTCAGATCTCTGAGAGGTCCTCCTCCTGTCCTCCTCCGGACCTCTGTGAGGTCTCAGGTGAGCTCAGAGGAGATCCGAGCCTCTGCGCTCTGCTGCTCCGCCCCGTGTCATCCATCCTGCTCATGTCAAATGTGCGCTGATGCGGGAGCGTCCGTCACAGACCGAGGCTCTCGTGAGGGAAACCGACCCGTTTGTGGAGGACTCATCTGAGCTCAGCACAATGGGTAACCTGAGACCTGATCCGCATTTAGACTCCGAACAAAGACAGGTCCTCCTCTCAAAGGCAGGGGGGGATCATGTGATCCGGCGCCGCTTTCTTATTCTAATAAGCGCTCATCATTACAGAGAGGAACCTCAAAGGATGAGCGGCGAGCAGACGGTTCAAACATCCTGACCATCAATGAGAGGCCGAATATTCATCAGCGTCCTCCTCGGTGACTCACGCCGTCACTGTCCGCTCACTTCCTGCAGAGCGACAGTATCAGGTGTTGGTTCAGTCAGCTGTGCTTCACTTCCTGAGTGGGCGTGTCTTATTTAAGACTGACCTGTCAGTGATTAAAACTATCTGAACAGTGGAGAAACATCCTTTTAATCAGCTCTCTTCTCCTTTGAATGTTTTTCTTTTTCAAAACTGAGAGTTTCAGTGATGATGATAAAAACAGCTGCTGTGACCAGATCACTCCAACATGAGACTGACGGTTCTACAGAACGAACAGAACCGAGGGAAACATGACATCATCATCATCATCATCATCATCATCCTCTTTATCAACATCTTCCTCCAATTCATCATCATCATCATCCTCATCATCAACGTCATCATCATTATCATCATCATAATCATCCTCTTCGTCATCATCATCACCATCATCATCATCCTCCTCTTCTTCATCATCATCATCATCATCATCATCATCATCATCATCATCATCATCATCATCATCATCATCATCATCCTCCTCTTCGTCATCATCATCATCATCATCATCATCATCATCCTCCTCTTCGTCGTCATCATCATCACCATCATCATCATCATCATCATCATCATCATACTCCTTCGTCATCACCATCATCATCATCATCCTCATCCTCCTCCTCTTTGTCCTCCTCCTCATCATCCTCCTTATCATCATTATTCTCATTTTCATGGTCAACATCATCATCATCAAGATCATCCTCATCATCATCCTTATCAACATTCTCATTCTCATCATTCTCATTATCATCATCATCCTCTCATCATCATCCTTCTCATCATCATCATTTTTCTTAGTGTCATCCTCATCCTCATCATCAATGTCATCATCATCACCATCATTCTCATTATCATCATCATCCTCATCAACATCATCATTCTCATCATCATCATCCTCATCATTAATGTCATCATCATCATCCTCATTATTCTTGTTATGTTATTTAAGCACAGTAACAGGAATATCCAGCAGTAGAAAGGGTCTTTAGGGAAAGGGGGTGTTTGTGATTAATGTACTGTAATTATTTGTATAAAACTAATAAAAATATTGTTGAGTAAAAATATCTGTACAGTCAAACCATCAGCAGGTCATTATTTCCTGATTCACTCAGAATAAAAAAGCTGAATTTATTGGACGGA